TCATGTGCAGTGTATGTATGAGTAGTTTTTTAGTTGTGTTTGTGAACAGCCATATCACTGGCTGCATGGGTGTGGTGTTTTTTACACTGCCAGCGTATATTAGCTTGGCAGCTTAAGTTATTGGAAGTAGGTGTATTGGTTTGGCATGTTATGTTATTGGGAGTGTCTAAAGCCCAACCTTATTTTTATACGCCCACAGGGCAGTATGTGTGTCACTGTCCTTTAAAGAGTATAAGTTACATTGCGAATACGTACAACATCTTAACGGGGGAAAATTGATAGGGATCGACAGATTAATAAACATTATTCTTTAACATTGCAACATCATAAAAAAAGGGGTTTAAGAAGGTGTAGATCATAAGAGGTGAGGTTGTTAACGATTCAAACAATGACACCTAATAAGAACTGTGTCCCCATCCAATTACATTTAAAAAGGATGTGTTATGTCTTCCACTATTTATGGGAGGTAATTTGATTGCAACGCAGTCATTTATTTAAAAAAATAATGAATTGTCACGATGGTTTTTCCGACGGTTTGCATAATGGAATTCACCAATGGACGGTAGCCTCCGCTTCTTTGGCCTGCCAGGAGGGCGCTTGCTGCATGATGGGGGCCTGCAAGGTATTGATTGGACGCCGGACGGGATGTCCCACGAAGACTTGTCACCTAATGGGTGCACAATACCGCTGTAAGTGGCTAGCAATGATTCACGTTTGTAATAAGGTGAGATGAAATTGTAACATGACATTCCTGGACGGGATGCAACTGCGGCTACGGCGTGCACACAAACAAATTGATCCAATTGAAAATCCCCGCATGTACACGTCTTGTCTCTGAGGTTGACCACAAAACTTCGCGTCCACCTGTCAACAATCTCGAACTCGTATGGGCAGGCTGGCATGACCTGTACGAATTATGAATGTTAAATGGAAGATGAAGGTAAAAAAATGTGAAAGTGTAGTGCAGTATAAATTGATAAATTAAAAGCGTGTGGGGTATTGATGATTAAATAACGTTACCTTCATCTTAAATGCATCACGTTGTAATGATATTAACTCCGACTCAAGCTTCTTTGGTAGAATGGTTGTGGTAGACGAAGCTGCCTGAAATCGTTCATGAAACCATTTCTGCATCCTTTCACGAATAAAATCGACTAGCTTGGAAATGGGGTATTCGCGTGCGGAGTTGTTTACATTGTTCATTGATTCAGCCGCATTGGAAGTCATCACGGAGAACCGGTGTGGCCCACTTTTACAGCGTGCCCATCTTGTTTGACCAATTTTTGAGAGGTATGCACGTATGCGATGGTCTTGCTCGTCCAGCATTTGAAGATACTCCTCGCACTCCACCTCGGTTGCTGCACGTGAAGCTTTCCTGAACTTCCAGGTTAGGTCTTCTTTAGGGCCTCTGAATTTGACACGCATGTTTCGGGCAGTGTGTTCAGTGCAGAACCCATGTCCTGCGTTGGGGAATACGTTTTGAACGGCATGAATGATACCTTCGTGGCGGTTAGGCACGATATAAAGATCATGTCTCGCCGTCAAGGAGGTTTTCAACTGAGTTAGAAACCACGTCCATGATTCCTTATCTTCTGCGTCACATATTCCAAAGGCAATGGGGACAAGTTGTTTAATAGCATCCTGGCAGCAAGCGATTAATAATGTTCCTTTGTAATAAGATTTCATGAACGTTCCATCAATGACTAGAACCGGAGCGCAGTGATCCCATGCTTGTCTCCAAGGGGCTAGAGAGAAGAACAGATATTTGAATATGTGATCCTCAGACCTAGCCAAGTGGATTGAAGACCAGGGTTCGTTGTCTCCAACATATAGCACAGGGATGGTAGTTGTTGGTATGATTCTTCATCGATTCCATACAATTTGTTCAATGCCTTCTGTTTCACGAGCAGTGCTTTCCTGTATGACATTGCAATGCCAAACTCCCGCCGCATGTCGTCCCGTATGTCATTAGGAGAGTACTGTTTTCTTGTAGCATCCACGTAGCGATGGCGGACTAGGTCAGCTATGAATGTTGACGTCGCTTGTCTGTGATCTCCTTCCTGAAAATCAACAGGGCAGAAATGATATGAGTAAAACCTACAGAAACAAGATATTTATCAAATGATCAGTCGGTATTTTGTTGTTCAGAAAACGGGAACTTATACAAGTTACAAGGTGGGGGGATATTTTTGTTTGGGATTTTGAAGTGCAGATATGTTGGGACAGAAAATTGTTTGATATTGTGTAAAGTGAATGTGTTTAGTGTGCTTTGGATTGTTGGATAAACTGGAAGTGTGGTGGATGCAAGGGAGTTGTGGGTGAAAATCCGGGGACATGTGACGTAGATTGCACACTACCATTTAATTATTAGTTGATGCAGTGGGTGTTATGCGTGGAAAGAGGTATGGAAGTGAGGGCGCGTGTCAAAGTTTTGTAATATGTTTTGCATTGAAATTTGTGTTCAATTGGGATTGAAATGCAGAATGGCAATGTGTGTGTTGTGCTTTGAGGTTGTTAAAAATGTAGGAAGTGTACTGTGTGGAAGTGCACATCCTTGTATAAGGTGGAGGGGGTGGGGGTGGGGGGCAGTGTGTGATTCCAGAATGCCTGAGTTTTTTTAAAGTAAGAACATACTATGGGGACTCTTTTAATTATGTTTACATTCAAATTCTCTCTAAAATAGAATGATTTACCTACGTATCTGAAATAGTGGAGAATTATCGAGACTAACAGCAGGAACTGCCCATGAACACCGGTCGTCAACGCATACAACATGCAACGTTGTCCTGTTTGACCTCTTTGTCTTGTACTGAAAGCTATTCGACACTGCATACATCTGGAGATGGTGGCAAAGGTCTTCCTTAGACTTGTAAATGCTATCAACTTGAATAGTGGTTGGGTGATAATGTGTAATTGCGTCCACTGCATTAGTCGGCATTCTCTTACGTTTGCATCGGTTGGTTCGTTTCGTGTTGTCATTGAAGCTAAGAGATTTTTTAAGAGATGGAGTATCAGCATGAGACGAGTGGGGGGCCTGAGTATATGGATGTTTTGAAATATTCGAAATTCCATCCATCACAACGTTATTATGTAACTCATGATCTCCATGAAAGGCATTATCGTTTGAGGGTTCAGACATTCCATTGGGGATTTCATTTGGAATGCAGATTGAGCTGGTTTGCCACGTTTGCTTGGGAGTGGACGCCATTGAAAGTGGAGTGTTGGCCATTTCACATACTGAATCAGGAGCTGAGGAGGGGTTGGGTAAAGCACTGGGAGGACTAGCTGTGGCACTAGGTAAAAACTCGATGCATAATGGGAGGTATGACATCTCATTTTTGTGGCACTTCAACTTCAAATAAAAAAGTAGTTCAGAATCATCCGCTATAATGATAGGCGGTGGACACATCGCAACAATGTAGGAGAAACGAATATCAGATTGAGACCACTCCATACTAATGTCTGCTTTAACAGTGTCAATGAGCGAGCCCAGAGAGCAATCAGAAGGGACATGAATGACAGTGTCGTACTTCGAAGTGAAATTTCCAAGAGTATCCCATGTTCCATCGACACACACCAATACCTTAATATTTGAATCCATGTTTGCAGCGCCTTGAACAGAGAAAATGACATGGTGAGATAGGTTGAGAAAACTGCTGAGTTAAGTGATTTAGTAAATTTTTTTTTGTAGGAAAGACACAGTGAATGAGTAGTTGAGCATGTAAAACTTGACATATTCATTCGGCTGCCGTAAGAAAAATGCAAGTGCAGAGGAGAACATTTTACCTTGAAAGTGGTGATTTTTTGGGTGCCAAACTAAAGTACAGCTAACATTACGAATTGTATCCATTGAGCTTATACATGAAGATGTCATTGCAGGGAGCCAATATTAAATAAAATTGAAAATCACTCATTTCAAATGGGCATTGCTGGGTAGTATGAATCAGTGCTGTTATAGTGCTAAAATCAAATTTTTTACTGCAGCACAACTTAATTAGGTTGGGTCACTTGGAAATGAGCGCAGAACAATGGTATTGGTCTGGAATAGAACAGAACATTTTTCAAAGAACCACAAACACTGGTAGATAAAGAAGATTATATTCTTCTACTTATCCGGTTAGTTGAATATACACTAGCCATTGAACGAAAAAAAAGACTACAAATTTCAGAATTGGGACAGAGATGGAAAACATGGGGCAAAGGTGAAATAGAGACTGAACCTGAAAGAAAATGTGAGTGTCTCGGTTGAGGCAGTGGGCGATGAATGCTTCCGGCGAATCTCTGCAGCTATTAATTTGGATGCTTCGCTTCAATCTGGACTTGGACTGTATAACATGAACCCTAGAGTGTGTTTGGCACTGAATCCGGTAAAGACGATGCCTACGGATCTCTGGTTTCGAAGGTGGGGGAATGATGATCATTGTTGTTTGTTTAGCACCGTAATAGGGAGAGGAGGTTGTAACGGCTGATGATTAACTCCCTCCTGAATTTACGCAGGTGAGGGGGAGTGCGCGAAATGGTTTCACCAAATGCGTAGTTGACGGGAAACCGAAAACAAAAGGGTAAAATGGGGATATTGATTATGAGAAACACGGATGAGGTGCTAAAACGTGTAAATGGGATGGGAGTGCTAGATGTGTGTTTTGTATTTCTTAATGGTGCTATATTGGATGATTTCTTAAATTAAAATCCGTTTACACCGTTGCGATCAGACAGTCAAACTCTATTTAATGATATAACTTTTATATTTATTTGAAATACTTTTTCTGACAGCATATTTTTGGGTGTTGAATTTGACAGAGTCAAAATTGAATTAATTGATATGTAATTAAAATTAGTCTCATATTCAATCAATATTATTAAATATAAATATTTATTTCAATAAATCATTTTACAAAAGTTCACATCTTTGACTTTTTCTCATTTTTATACAAATTACATATTTAAAATGTCATAACTGAACCTCTGTACATCAGATTTATTCATAAAATATACCGTTGGATTCGTCTCTTCGAGACCTATCCATAAAAGTCAATCTTAACAAAAATCATTGACTCCAAAAATTTCTTCATTTTTGGTCAAACATAGAAATAATGCTTTGTTGAGTTAAAATATGGTTTCTAAAAATACTTTTATAATAGAATAACTTTTAGACCATGTTTTGGGGCGTTACAGAAACGGTGCAGTGGGTACAGAAGTAGATAATGTAAAAGAAAATTTATGAGATTTGGTCATAGAACTGTAATACCCTAGCTTTTTGTGAGCTCAACACTTAGAAACTCCAAAGTTAAGCGTGCTTGACGTGGAGCAATTTTAGGATCGTGACCCCATGGGAAGTTTCTTAGGTGCACAAGAGTAAGGACAAAGTGCGTGAAAAAGACATGTGTTTGTTTCTAGGGTCAGTCAACAATCCTATGAGCAGACACTTACTATTAAGGTGGGGGCCGAGGTGTTACAAATGGTATGTGTAATACCCTAATTCGTCCAGGTAAGCAACCCCTTTTGGACTAAAGTATTAACTTGGTAATCGTAAAAATTTAAAACATTTCCAAACACTTATATTCCTCATAAGAATAATATTCATAACAGTAATAGTACGGAGTTTCAATGTTACAAAAGCTTAACAAATCACAAAACATAATTTATTTATGTGCTTCAATTCAAAACCATCACATCCATCCCGACAATCTCGCCTCCGTCTACCTCTAGGATCATATCACATCGTTCTTTCTATTTACGTGCGTGTAGCAAATAAAACATACTACATGCTCAGCGTTGAAGCTAAGTAAGGATATCTAATGCGTCGAACATCCATAAAAATTAAATCTCAATTTATAATCAAATCATTTGATATCCTGCACATAATGTTCAATTCAGACATTCAATAATCAATATTCAACATTCAATATTCAACACTCATATTCATATTCAACATTCATCAGCAATATCCTTAAACTATTCTTAATCTAAGGCCAATCTCTTTAATGTTTACCAACTCTTAAACTAATTCTAGTTTAAGGTACTTCTAACCAACTCTTAAATTATAGTCTAGTTTAAGGTACTCCAAACCAACTCTGAAGGTAGTCTAGTTTAATGTACAATTTTCAAAAAGGCTTTCCAACTCTTAAACTAGCCTTTGCTTAAGGTACACTAGAAAACGAACTTCAGAATGCTCACCGTTGGGTTGGGTGGTATCCCCAAGCGAGTAATCCTCAATTTTTGTTTGCGGATCCCATACGTACGTTTTTACCTAGGCCACCGGATATTCATATTTATACCGCAAGGCCTATTCTAATCTAAGGTCTATCTTGAAGGTCTTCTAGATAGCCTTAACAATACAATTCATTTCACATCATTCCATTTATTTTGGATCATAGTTCAAAAATTCATAATCATCATTTTATTCGGAATATTCATCAAAGCTTAATCATCATAATCATTAATAAATAATATTCATCATAATCATCAATCGATAATATTTATCATAATACCAAATAACAAATAGCGGCCTAGCGTCGAGTGTTAACACTCTAGCTTACTTTCATACATCAAACAAGGTTTCCTGAATTCATCAAAATATCATATTTATTTCCAGAACTCATTTCTATATTGATCATAATTGATTGGTATCAAAAATAGAATTTAATAGTTCAAAAATTGGGTTTTCAAAAAAAAATACCGGATTAGACAGCTCGGGTGCTCGATCCACCACATGTGATTGATTCACCACATGTGATCAATCAACCACATGTGATCGATCCACCCCATGTGATCGATCCACCACATGTGATCCATCACATGAAGAAATTCTGTAAAATGCAAAAAATTACTGTTTATTGTCTCCTACCTTCGGCCACTTTTCTCAAACTTCATTTTAGGTCACCAAATTTTAATTAAATTATATAGAAATATTCTCCAAGGTTCATAGATCATTTTGGCATCATTAATTCTAAGTTTCAACAACAATCTCAAGGTTTATGATTCTTGGTTCTTCAAACATGTCAAACACAAAATTCAACCAAACGACCGTTTATGAACATAGAAACGATCTATACAAACATTTTAATCACTATATATATATATCTAAGGGCTTACCTCGGAGCTTAACGATGATTCCGACAATTGAACGGGAAAACTTCTGGCGAACACTACAGCTTGCTCTGGCGACGGGGAGCACTCTCGACAACACTACTTTGCTCTCTATACTCACAACCCTCTAATGGAGGAAAAATGGTGAAGAATTAGTCTCCCTTATACAGTGAAGGTGAAGAAGAAGAAGACAGTTGCTGAGTTGCTGTTGTGTAGGATTCTAATTCACGATCTTCATTTGGCAGAAGTGCGATTTTTGGCGATACAGTATGCTACTTCCTGATTGAGACAAATTTGATTCAAGTCGGGGTACACTTTTTGGTCCAACTTTCTCTAAATTGAAATTTATTTACACCATTGCAATCAGACAGTCAAACTCTATCAGCGATATAATTTTTATATTTATTTGTAATACTTTTTCCGACAACATATTTTTGGGTGTTAGACTTTTATTTAAAAAGATTCTCACATTTAATTCATATTATTTACTCTCATGATTTATTTCAATAAATCATTTCAAAGTTCACATCGTAAACAAATTCTTTATTTATTCTTAATTTTGGTCTGTACTCTGGTTCCCAATCTAGATTACACAATAAGTCAACATATTGGATTTACCTTTGAGATTTATCCAGATTGTGATATTAGTTATCAAAACACATTTCATTTTGTCTCAAAGCCCAACAATAATTTATTTTAATCAAAATAAATTTGATTAAATGAATAGTAATTCAATAATAATTTTAGGGGATTTTATTTCATGCTTTGATAACTTGATGGTGAACGAAACTGAATTCACAGGATCAAGTGATCAACTATCCGCTCCCACAGGCTCTCACTTCTCTCTTCCATGGCGAAGAAGAAAGGGAGACCAAAGAAAAACGTGGAACCAAATACTGCAATAGCAATTGATTTCTCTGGCAGTTCAATGAATACACCAAAGGGAGGAGATTCATCATCGAAGGTAGGGAAAGAGACACCAGCAAGCCATAGATCTCATGCACAACAGGACCCCGATCTGAAGAAAATGGAAGAACAAGCAACTGAAAACCAGCGGAAAACCTACGCTGATGTTTTGAGACCTGATGAGGTACAAACAGATCTCTCCTTTTATCAATTTGAGGAAATAAATGGACAAAAGGTAGCCAGACTTACTGAAGATGACGAAATTAATGTTGAGGGACTCTGGGATCAAGCTGTTATATGTTATATTCTGGGTGCAAACCCCCCACTTGAAGTTGTAAAGGGGTTTATAACAAGAATTTGGAAGGAATATGTAGTGGAAGATGTTAGTTTCCACAAGGAAGGGCAATACATAGTCCAATTTCAAAGAGCAGAAGAAAGAGATGAGGTCATTAAGAGGAAGTACTACTATTTTGATAACAAGCCCATGTTAGTGCAGAGATGGAAACCTGGAATGAATTTAAACATATTGGAATTGAATGATATTCCTATTTGGGTACAACTACCTAACCTGGACATGAGATACTGGTGTTTGTCAGCATTGGGTAAATTGGGGAGCATTTTGGAGCTGAGAAACGTATCAAATGGGATAAGGCAACAACAACTAAAGCCAAATGGAATATATTATGCCAGACTGATGAGGAGAAAGCATTGGAGAAATCTGATGGAGAACCTGAATTTCAGATTGTTACTGGTAAGAAGGTTGCAAGGAAAATCACAATAGATGAGCTAAGAATGGAAGGAGGCTCTTGGAAGGATGCTCCTTATGAAGGACACTACCCTTTCCTCGAATGATAAACTAGTGTTTGCACACTAGTGTTTACTTATGACTCATAGGCTACTCGAAATGTTAGTTAGTTAATTCATAATGCATTTTTAGTCACGCTTTTTAAATTTTATGAAAAGCACTTACATTCCCTTATATTTTTTTTATATTGTGTTATGTTTTAGATAAAGAAGATCAAGATATGCATTGTGTATATGCCTTTTTGCACTGTGTTTTGAATACAAGTGCATACAGTGAAACTAGTAGGACATGTTTATGATTCATATTTTTAATCAACACCGTTGCACTCTAATGCATACCAATCTTATAGATTCAGAAATTATGTATGAATGATGAATGTTAACATCCTTATATATATGATGCAGGTTGGATAGGAAGATATGCATTGTAAAAGGAAAAAAAATACACAGCGGCCTCCATTACTTGAAAGAAGCATGATATGATAGCATCTTCCGTTCATAAAAGTAGTTGGATTAGGATCACGTAAATGAAAAATGCAGCAAAGGAGGTGCAGAACATGTTGACATAGAGTACGAAGTCAAAAAAGATATTTGAGACGCCAGTGATAAAAGACTACATGATTAAGCAAAACTATAATGAAGTCAATTCCACGACAATATGATTTTTGTGAACACTATTTCTTGAAACCTTATATTTAAATTTGAATTTATTTAAAACTTGTATTTGAATGAAACTCAAACACAATTCAGAGTATTCATTTGGGAAAAACTGTGTTTATTTCTACAGTTTTAATGAAATGGTTTGTTACATTATAAAAAATAAGACTCAAACACAATTCAGAGTATTTGAATGAGACTCAAACACAATTCAGAGTATCCACTTCTGATTGATATGCATCATGGTCTTGTAGACATGCACTATCTTCTTATTTCATTACATTATAAAAAATGCTTTAATCTATCAAAGTTTAACATTTAGAATGAAAATAAATAAATGTAAAAAATAATTCATATTCTAAAAGAGGAGGTTAAAGTTTACGGAAGATAAAAAATGTCTCCATCATGAACAAAACACATCTCTACCAACTCATAAAACCCACAATCACAAATTGAAAACCATCAAAAAAATTATGAAAGTACATGCAACACTATATTACTTCACTAAGGTATAACATCACTGTGTTTCAAAAATTATGCATCCACTTCTAATTTATATGCATCATGGTCCTGTACAGATGCACTGTCTTCTTATTTCGTTACATTATAAAAAATGCTTTAATCTATCAAAGTTTATCATTTAGAATGAAAATAAATAAATGTAAAAAATAATTCATATTCCAAAAGAGGATGTTAAAGTTTAAGGAAGATAAAAAATGTCTCCATCATGAACAAAACACATCTCTACCAACTCATAGAACCCACAATCACAATTGAAAACGATCAAAAAAAATATGAAAATACACGAAACACTATATTACTTCACTAAGGTATAACATCACTGTAATTCAAAAATTATGCATCCACTTCTGATTTATATGCATCATGGTCTTGTACAGAGGCACTGTCTTCTTATAAGAAGACAGATCCTGATCATCTAGAATCCGTTGTCGCTCTTCTGGGCAATCATCCTCGCCATGAGATTCGGCCAATAAAAACTCCTCTGATCTTTATTTAGAATGAGATCTGGAAAGAAGAACATCAGGGCAAGATAAGTGTATAATACACAACAAACTTTAAAACATGAGGCACAAGTTCATATAGATAACGAATCACAAACAATTCAAATGAATTTTTATCCGAAAATAGAAGAATATGCAGTAAAAATTATCGAATTGCTTAAGAAATCATACCTCAATCTATACAAAGGTTAGACCAATTTGAATTACTGTAAATGAGCAATTAGGTGTAAAAATTTGAAGGCCTCTACATACTTAGATTAGTACAATGTCTTGTTATTACTTATTACCTTAAGAGTTTCATTTCTCACAAGCTCGTCCCATTGCACTACATATAGGTGTAAATGCATCATTACTGTGTTTAAAAGCATCATCACCGTGCTATCCGTGCACTATTTTCTTTATTACAATTCTTTTACAGCACATAATGCACATTTTTTACTGTCATATACATAAGATCCCCAACACTTACAAGTCACTATGAACATTATGGGCTGCTCTGCGTAAAAAATGTAAAGTATTTATAAGATATTCAAGCCTATGCATCTTGCATAATAAAGAACCAATAAGAAAAGAAGAATATACATCATGTCATCAATTACTCTTTAATGAAAACTACACTCCGTCAATTTTAATATAATTTACTTTGTATATAATAAAGATTAAAAAATGCAATAATGCATCATGAGTGTAATTTGATGCACACTAAATCATAAATTGATACAACCCAAAACAAAAAAAATAGAAAACTTAAATGATGCCTCGCTGCAATTTCTTCAAGCATAACATTTTGAAAACTAACAACAAACACAATTCATTATAGCATATAATTTCAGAATCTTGTCTTTTTAAATGAAAAAACTGGAAGGATTAGAACACAAAAAGAGGATGCAAAGTTCAAACCTGAATCCATATACGCATGTACGAAGAAGAATATGGAAAACTGGAATGATTGAAGCACCAAAATGAGTAGCAATTGGAATGCCAAACCTCAAGATCCGATCATTCAATGAAGCGATTGGAACACCAAATTGAGAAATTATGGCATTCAGAACGATTTTGGGAATATATAAACCTGAAACAAGATTGATACGAAATGATATGAGATCGTGAGAAGAAAATCTTGAATGATTTTGGGAATATGGAAACTTACGATGATATCGCAAGAATGGAAGCGCTGGATGAGAGAGAAACAGCTTCTAAAGGAAAATACATTATTACCCATCAAAAGTGGCGGATGTATTATTATCAGAAGGCTGCATGGGACGGTCCAGAAGCATTCTTATTTCTTTCACTAGATTTCATTCTCACCAGAACCAAAACCTATATATATATATATATACAAATTTGCTTGGCACAAGCTACAGATCCCGCAAATTAGGGTTTTCCAATGGAAAGTATTTAATGAAATCCTACCTTTTCCACAACTACTTAGGAAGCTCGGGTACCAGCTACCTTCACAATGTCCACTCTGCAAGAACCATGAAACAAGCACAAACCACACCCTCCTGCACTGCCATTTCAGCTCTAAAATCTGGAATTTTTTTACTATCTTGCTTCAAGGTCCCTGCAAAAGAGATGGAATCAGTCCACGACAACATATTCTAGAGTGGAATCTCAGGTCTTCCAGCAAGACTATAAGGGGTAATCTCAAAATGGTTATAGCCGGAATCATTGCATGGCATATTTGGAAAACCTATAATGCTGCACTCTACAGCGAGGAGCAACCCTCAGTGACAAAAGTCCTCCACAATATCAAAACCACTATCCAAAATTGGTGTTGGAACAACCGAGATAAGAGGTGGATGAACAAAGAATCTGAACTTTTTGAGTTGGGATTTCAAACAGTTTACCTCAACAGATATCAGCTCCATAGCTTCAGAGATGAATCACGGTATACACATGTACAATTGGCGGATAGAAGAACATCAGCGGGAAAAAGAAGAAGACGGTGATCCACAACACAATCATGTGGAGGTTGAGGAAGAATTTTAGGTGAGGAAAGTAGCGGTTAAAGATGGGCCTGATCAAGGATGATGAAAATTTGAATCCTGAGCATCCTCATCCCTTTTCTGTTTACATTAGCAGGATATGTCTTTTTTTTTAGACCTCTGAGGCTACGGTCTAGTCCTCCTCAGACGTGTACTGATATTGTCGTTTTTTTAATAAAAGTTCTTCTTTTCAAATATATATATATATATATATATATATATATATATATATATATATATATATATATATATATATATATATATATATATATATATATATATATATATATATATCTGTGTGTGTGTTTTGTATATATATGTATATATATATATAATAAATATTTTATTATTTATTTTGTGTTAATTATATGATAATTAAAGTTGACAAAATAAATTAGAAGCTTCCTTAAAGTTGGATTCATAAACTTTTGTGGCTAGCTCTTGGATCAATCCATCAACCTACACATATCGTTACTTGCTTGCTAAGAAAGGTATATTTCTAAATAATAACTTATAATAATCATAAGAGGTCCTGGGTGTATCTACGTTTGGACAATAAAGTTTTAATTTCAGCTGCCCTATCCAAGCATAGAACCCAATAGTGGTATCGGAGGCGACTTATGACAATTATAAGTTTTGTAGATCTAATTGCCGTTAGGGTTTTTGATAATTGATAAAATAAAATATGTGTATATATTTTCTAAAATTATCCAAAATTCAAGAAAGTGCAAAAATATGATTCTGGACTTTATAATATTCGAAAATATGATTTTTGAATTAAATTTTGGATTTATTTTTATTTTCGGGTTAATCGGTTAAAAACTGTTTTAACTAATTAAAATATTTCGAAAATTCGAAAATTAAATTTTATTAAATCTGAGAATTTAAATATGATTAAAAGACCTCTGGATATTTAAAATAAATTTTTGGAATTGATTTCCAAATTTATAAATTTGAGGGTGTATGAGAGTGATTAACTTTTAGATAAAATGATTTCGAAAAAAGCTGAAAGCAAGAGCATCTCATACCTGCTTCTCTGAAACGGCATTTTGTGTATAAAATAGTGGCGGTCAAAAACAGAAGCTGACATGCCAAACAGAGTAAAATCACTTTTACTCAAAGCAGAAGCTAAATTATTAAAAGCAACGCATTGCCAAACACCCTCTAAATTCATATTCATGGGATACCATAAAACCATATTTGTTATTCGCTTGACATATCGAATTATTCGATTTACAGCATTTAGATGTGATTCTTTGGGTGATTATTGGAAACGTGCACAAAGACAAACGGAAAACATTATGTCAGGTCTAGATGCAGTTAAATAAAGCAAACTACCAATCATACCTCGATATACCTTTTCATTTACAGGTTTTCTTCTTTCGTCGCTATCAAGCTTCAAGGATGTGCTCATTGGTGTTGGGTATGTTTTTGAGTCTTCAAGGTTGAACTTCTTGACTAATTCTTTGGCACACTTGGTTTGGCTAATGAAGATACCATCTCCAAGTTGCTTGATTTGAAGTCTAAGGAAGAAGTTCAACTCACCCATCATGCTCATTTCAAATTCGCTTGTCATAATTCCTGAAAATTCATTACATAAAGCTTCATTAGTTGACCCAAAAATAATATCATCTACATAAATTTGCACAATTATGAGATCTTTTCCTTTTGTTTTGACAAAAAGTGTGGAATCGATCTTTCCTTTTTCAAATCCATGTGAGATGAGATGTTCGGTAAGCCGCTCATACCAAGCTCTAGAAGCTTGTTTGAGTCCATAAAGAGCCTTATGAAGTTTAAAAATATGATTTGGAAAATCAGGATTTTCAAAACCGGGAGGTTGTTCAACATAA